ACTTTTTCGAGCTATGTTTCCAGAGCTTAGAAATATAGGACCGTGTATTGAACTCATCTTAAAATTCCAATTATTATCCACGGAAAAATGCGGGTAAAAATGTAATTTACAAATCATTTATCATAGAGTAGAGTGTGGAATTTCTCCGCGGGATTGGTACAACAAAATTTTAGATGCGGAATTTCGACACCGGTTCAAAAGTCAGGCAAACTCGATACTAGCTCGCTACTAAAGTAAATTCATTTTCTATATGCCGGTTTTTAAAGTTTTAAAATAACATACAGTGCATTTCTTTAATGTCCCCCTCCCTTTTATTTTTTGAACGGATCAACTTAGAAAATTGAAATTTAGGATAACAAAACTAATGCATGATTACTATATTTTGGAGTAAAATTGACAGATGAAAATTTCAAGATGGCGACTTGGCGCTATATTGAGGCGCTATATTGAGAAATACACATCATTTTGAAGCTCCTGACAAATACTATATAACCCTGGAATTTAAAGTCAATATCTGCACCCATTTCAAAATGGCGGAACATTTAATAATATTATTAGTACGGATATTGACTTTATATATCAGGGTTGTAGAGTATTTGTCAGGAGCTTCAAAATGATGTATCACAAGACCCCCCTTTCCATTTAAATTTATTTCCCAAGATGGCGCCCAGTCGCCATCTGGAAATTTTCATCTGTCAATTTTACTCCAAAATATAGTAATCATGCATTAGTTTCATAATCCTAAATTTTAATTTTCTAAGTTGATCCGTTCAAAAAATAAAAGGGGAGGGACATTAAAGAAATGCACTGTAAAGTCTACAAAGGCCTACAAAGGTTCTTATGAGAACCACAATGCTTTTCCTAGATAAGAACAACATTTTGTCAGTAGATTAAATAACAAAGTAATTTCTAGCAGTTGGCGTTTACCCGCATAGCAGGTACAATTGTAGGGACCACAAACATTGAACGTTCAATCCAAAACCGGCATAAATCAAACGAACAGACCGCAGCTAAAACGAGTCTACAGTCTACGAGTCTACAGTCTCGTCAACAAGAACCCCTCGCCACCACCAGCGCCCTAATACCCCGGATTCGGCGAATGCTGGTGATGGTAACTCCCCGCCCCGACCAACGGCTGAGGCGGCGGCGGCGGCGCCGGCGCGTTCGACCTGCCCTCCGCGTGGCCGCAACTCCTGCCCGAATGCCCGGCGGCCGCGCCGGCCGCCGCCTTCTTCGGCGCCGCGTGGAAACCCGCCGTAGCCGGCGCGTAGCCGCTCCTGCTACTCGCATTCCCCGCGTACGACCCGTAACTGCTGTCGTCCGACTGGCCCCTGCGCTGGCCGCCCAGCAGCCCGTACACGGACTCCGGCCGGTTCGCCCTGCCTTTGGCCTCGCCGGCGTCCGCCGGGCGGTAGTTCTCGCGCCTCTCCGCCGCCGCGTAGCCGTCGCATCGCGGCGCCGGCGCCGCGCGTGCGCCGTACGCGCCCTCGGTCCGCTGCTGCAGCTGGTTCTGGACGTTCTGGTTGTTGACGTGGCTGTGCTGGTTCGCCCTGAGCGGGTACATCGATTGCGCGGGCACCAGCGGCCCGGGACGCGGCAGCGAGTCCTTGTGGATGCCCGCGTTGCTCTTGGCGTACACCGATTGGGATCTGTTGAGGTTGGCGCGCGTCAGCGGCGGCGAGTTGCAATACAACGATTTGGTGCCGCCGTAGATCGACTCGCCGCGTTCGAGTTTCGTCGGCGGCGCCGAGTAGAGGCTGGCGCAGTAGTTGGAGGCGCCCGCGGTGGATCGGTAGGTGTTGTAGTTGGAGCCGTGGAACTTGACGGGCGCCGGTTTGTCGATGTCCTCGAAGGTTTCGATGTCGTCGGATCTCATGCTCGACGACTCGTCGTCTTGGGATTCTTTTACTCGCCGTTGGCGCCTCGGGTTGAAGACGTACTCGTAGACGAGGGCGGCGGCGGCGCCGCCGGACATCGGGCCCAGCCAGTACACCCAGTGGTTCTCCCATTTGTTGAGTACGAAGGCTGGTCCGAGCGATCTGGCCGGGTTTAAGTAGGGCATCTGCAATGAGAAACCCAGTTGGTTTTGTGATTTTTACATCGAAGTATCTAAATGTCTTACGGAAACGAATGAGCAGGCGGAGTAGGTGGCTCCGATGGTGAGCGAGCTGGTGCCTGTCCATTTTCTGTAGGTGTCCATCGAGATGAAATAGGAGAAGACTACTATGAAGGTCAGCATGAATTCGATTCCGAATTTTTCCCAAGGGGAAATGTTGAACGAGTGGCCTAGCACGGCGGACATGTTGCCTTGGTAGTTCGGGACTGTTACTCTAAAACGTAAAGAAAATTGGATATTAATAAACGAGTGACGTTTTGTAACAATGTAAATTGCATTTTCCAGGTGATTTATTTGAATGTACAGGGTGGTCCTCTAAGAATGGCTCTCGGCCATATCTCGCAAACTAATTGTCGTTGACTTGCGGTAAAAAATCTTATAAAATGACTAAAAAAAAGCCAAATGCAGTACTTATTGCTATTTTTTCTAGCTTGATTTTTAGAATATTTGGTAAACAACGTTTATAGTCGGTCTCACAGACCGGGCGCGACTATTGGAAGGTTAATAAATTGGTTAATTTTGTGGATGGAATAACGCTTATTAGAGGCGTTTTTTCTTTTTTTTAGATATATTTTAGGTTAGGAAGGAGATATCAAGGTACGGTTTTCACAGGCTTGTTTGGCAATTATTTGATTATTTTTCTACAAGGAAAAAGTTATATCGTTGCATTTAAATTTTTTGAGAAAATCGGCGGTTTTTGAAGTTATGTCGGAAAACGCCACCTGGCGGCCAAGCAAGCATTTAAAATAATACCTTATATAGTGTAAATTATAGATCAAGGAGAGTCCTTTTCAACGATTTCATTTTTATGAAAATCCGTTCAGCCGTTATTAAAAAAAGTTATTAAAAATTATTAAACATTACTATTACTAGACATACTAAACATATTAAACATTATTAAAAAAATTAAAAGTTATTTACATTAACATTTATTTGGCAAACTATTCAAACCTCCCCCACCACTTTATTTTAAAAGATAGAATCAAAAATATAGTATAACAAAAAACAATCGAAATTATCTCAACTATCAAAATAAACCACATTTTTGCTACCTTTATTTAGGAAATTAAAAAAAATGACTTAAAAATCAAGATGGCGGATACTCCCCCTAGCGGCCATTTTAGTCAATTATTACCAGCGTTGATAAAAAATAAATCTATAATTAAGGGGGTAACATTAACTCGGCGTAAAAAATGCACATTTTTAAGAATTTTTCAGGTATAATTCAGATTTATTTAATCGATTATGACATTGTTTTACAACTAATGAACAATGTTTACATAATTTTTGAAAGCTTAAATCGAATATAAAATAAAAAATACAGGGTGTTCCAAAAATGTTGTTAGTTAAGAACAACTTTTTAAACAAAAATGACTCTGGAGCCAAAACGGCTCATTTTTTACTAGGCGTATCTTTGCAAAAATTGTTCACCACCTTCATTACCTCCTTAAGTTTGGCACAACCTTTTTGGAACACCCTGTATATCATTGCCTTAAAAAATGTAAGTATGTTTGGTTCGGCTTCGAATTATAGAACACCCTGTATATTTCAAAATAATTTTAAATTACGCGCCTCAAGGTACTGAACAAATTTCCTATACGTCATTTTTTCCTAAAATAATGGAGTAAATAAGGTTTACCGTACTATTGGGACGCCCTGTATATGTAGGCTCTTCGTATGAGATAAATCGAATTAATTTCGATTCCGGGCATATTTAGCCTAACTGAATTGCATTATGAATTGAAATTGGTCGTGAATCTTTATTTGAATTGGAACAATTTAAATGTAAAATGTTTCGACTTATTAGAAAATCCAATTCGAATAAATTGGCTCGTTCAGCGCGAGTACAATTCCAGTACAACTGACCCTTGACCATATAGTCATTGAATTTGTTTGGGTCGTATTACATGCGATTCTACAATATACAGGGTGATTCGTTCTTAGTACTTTCATAACTAGAAATACTCGTGGTGGTCAAGTACTAAATGAGATTACTACGTACAGTAAGTAATTTTTGTCTAAAAAGAGTAAAATTTATAACAAGTAATTCAGTAAAACATCCTAAAAATTCAGTTATATTAATCATTTAGAACCATTTAGAATAACTCAGAATTGTTGAGTACAATTTCAGTACTAACTAGGACTGTACGAAACAGTTTGAGAACCATGTAGAACTGTTCAAAAGTATTTATATTATTTTCAACTACTTGGAACGATCTAGGATAAACTAGAAAAGTCCAGAACTATTTAGAATGTTTTCAGGATGATCAAAACTCTTAGAAAACAATTTAAAAAATCGACTAATGTAGACAAATTATCAAAATGTAAAATCATTCAAAAAAAATGTCTAATCTAGACAAATCATCAAATTTCCGTGTAAAAACCAAAAAAACAAGTAATTTAGTAACATATCCTAAAAATTCACTCACTATAACCATTTAGAATTGTTCAAAACAATTTAGTTTAACCCAGAATTGTTTCGAACTCATTCAGAACTAACTAGGACCGTTCGAAACAGTTCGAGACGATCTTAGAACTGTTCGAAATCATCATTAGAACAGATTCAGGACTATTTGGAACGGTCCAGGATGAACTAGAAAAGTCCATAACCATTGAGAACTATTTAGAACGTTTTTAAGACAATTCAGAACTTTTAGAAAACTATTTAAAAAATCAACTAATCTAGACAAATCGTCAAAACCCCATGTAAAATCTTTCAAAAAAAAATCGAGTAAATTGGTAAAATATCCTAAAAATTCAGTTATATTAATCATTTAGAACTGATCAAAACCCTTTAGAATAACCTAGAATTATTTAGAACATTTTAAGAACTCACTAGGACTATACGAAACATTTTGAGACGATCTTAAGAACCATGTAGAACTGTCCAAAATTATTTAGAATAGATTGGAACGATCCAGGATAAACTAGAAAAGTCCAGAACTATTTAGAATGTTTTCAGGACGATCAAAACTTTTAGAAAACAATTTACAAAAACCGAACTAATGTAGACAAATTATCAAAATGTGAAATCATTAAAAAAATCGAATTAACTGGTAAAATGTCCTGAAAATTCAGTTATAATAATCATTTAGAAATGTTTAAAACAATTTAGATTAACCCAGAATTGTTCAGAACTCGTTCAAAACTAATTAGGACCGTTCGAAACAGTTCGAGACGATCTTAGAACTGTTGGAAACCATCATTAGAACAGATTCTGGACTATTTGGAACGGTCCAGGATGGACTAGAAAAGTCCATAACCATTGACAACTATTTAGATCGTTTTCAAGACAATTCAGAAGTTATAGAAGACTATTTCAAAAATCGACTAATCTGGACAAATCATCAAAACTCCATGTCAAATCTTCCAAAAAAATCGAGTAACTTTGTAAAATATCCTAAAAATTCAATTACAATAATCATTTAGAACTCATTAAAATAACCCAGAATTGTTTAGAACTATTTGAGAGCTAACTAGGACTGTTCGAAACGAACTGTCTACATTCATCATTAGAACTATTCAGATTCATTTAGAACTGTTTAAAACCATTTAGAATAACCCAGAATTATGTAGAACTATTTCAGAACTAACTGGGATCGTTCGAGACGTATTGTATCAAATATTGTAATATATTGTATCAAATATTTAGATGTTAAGTTTCTTCATTTATCACTATAGGGTAGCCATTTATTATTATAAAAAAATTACTCTGTATACAGGGTGTTTCACAACTTATCCGACAAATTTTAACCACATATACACTGTTACGAGAGAAGTTAATTTCCCAAAAAAATGTAATAAAAGTCTTACAGAAATCGAGATAATAAAATAATAGTTTAACAGTTCAATTACTTATACAAGATGTTCAAAATTGTTCCCATTTATTGCAATTCAAGCTTGGGTGCTTGTTTTTTTTTGTTTTAACGATTGTTTTGGTGCAACATTTGCTATAGTAAAGTATTAAGGCAAAATTATGAACGCAAAATGCAGTATTTATTTTTCAATTTTTTATTGAAACTCGGATTTATAATTTAATTTCTGTAGGACTTTTATTACTTTTTTTTGAGAAATCAACTTCTCTCTCTTTGAGAAATCTCAAAAAACATGTAATAAAAGTCCTACAGAAATAAAATTATAAACCCGAGTTTCAATAAAAAATTGAAAAATAAATACTGCATTTTGCGTTCATAATTTTGTGCATTCATAAATGTTGCACCAAAACAATCGTTAAAACAAAAAAAAACAAGCACCCAAGCTTGCATTGCAATAAATGGGAACAATTTTGAACATCTTGTATAACTAATTGAACTGTTAAACTATTATTTTATTACCTCGATTTCTTTTCGACTTTTATTACATTTTTTTTGGGAAATTAACTTCTCTCGTAACAGTGCATATGTGGATAAAATTTGTCGGATAAGTTGTGAAACACCCTGTATATTTTTAAGCACGCGCGCACTTTCATAACGGCGATTTAATATGCACCTCGGATCCCGTTTGGATATTTCAAAGCCGCTTAACTCCCATTCAAAAAAGTTCGATATGTCGGGATTCGAGAACGATCATCCCTTACGTATTTCCGAATGAAATATTAAATATTAAGATTCGAGAAAAGCGCCTCGAAAAAAGAAACCTGTCGACATGTGCGAGGATAATTCCAAATAGGCGATGTGATAGGTGCTCGGGTCGCAATTATTAGGGAGATTTTTATCGAATTTAGGGCGAGTTTTTGGAGAAAAACAGGAAGAAGAGTATCATTTGCTCGGCCGCATAATGGTCGGAGATATCGCGAAATTCGATGGAAAACATCCGTAGGTGCCGCGAGTGCGAGATAAGAATTATCAGGTGAAACGTGAGAATTGTTTCGGAATATGGAAATTTATCTTCTTCTAAAAATAGAAAAATGTTAAGGCTGCTTTATCTAATTAAACTCTTAGATTGCCTGGATTTGAGACGTTTTTAGAACCATTTAGAACTGCCTAGAAAACTGGAAAAAGCTAGAACTATATTTAAAATGTTTTCAGGGAGATTCAGTACTTTTAGAAATATTTAAAAATTTTCATTTAAAAAAATCGACTAATCTATACAAATCATCAAATTTCCTTGTAAAAACCCAAAAACCCGAGTAATTTAGTAACATATCCTAAAAATTCAGTCACTATAATCATTTAGAAGTGTTCAAAACCATTTAGATTAACCCAGAATTGTTTA